GTGCTCTCCTGTCCCCATGGCCCCTGTGCGGGTCGGAGCAGTGAGGGTGGGTGCTGGGTGCCGGGTGCTCTCGGGTCCCCATGGCCCCTGTGCGGGTCGGAGCAGTGAGGGCGGGTGCTGGGCGCCGGGTGCTCTCGGGTCCCCATGGCCCCTGTGCGGGTCGGAGCAGTGAGGGCGGGTGCTGGGTGCTCTCGGGTCCCCACGGCCCCTGTGCAGGTCGGAGTGGCCAGGGCAAGTGCTGAGCGCTCTCGTGTCCCTCAGGCCCCATCGGAGGGGGGTTTGTGCAGCAGGGGCCGTGTCCCTGGTGCTTTCCCCAAGCTCCTGTTCTCTGCCGTGGAGACTGGCCATGCTCCCCTGGGCCCCGGGGAGCTCCACGGCCCTTGACAAGGCTCTGCCTCCATGGGGCGCCGGACCTGCCATCTGCTCCTCTCTTCTCAGCCCTGTGGCCCTGGGTCCCCTACTCCTTGTGGCTGCGCTTGGCGGGCCCCAGGCATGGGGGAGGGGGGAGCTACAGCTTGGTCTTTCCTTCACCACCCACAGATATCAGCTCCGTGATTCTCTTCGGCGCCTGTATCGAGGGGGTCGTCCTCCGTGACAAGTGAGTGCTGCTGCCCAACAGTGGGGTGTTGGGGGCGACAGGGCTGTGCAGGGGGAATGGTGGGGGGAGGTGGCAGTTTGGATGGAGGGGTTGGGGGGTGACTGGGGGCAGTGGTTGGATGGAGGGTGGCAGTTTGGATTGAAGGGGTGGGTGGGGGGTGGCTGGTTGGAGGGGGGTGGGTTTCGATGGAGGGGGTGGGGGTGGAGGGGACCAGGGTGGGGGCTGGCTGGGGGCAGTGGTTGGATGGAGGGCGGTGGTTGGATGGAGGGTGGCTGGGTGGAGGGGGCAGTTTGGATTGAAGGGGTGGGTAAGGGGTAGTGGGGTGGGTGGAGGGGAGCAGATAGGTGGAGGGGTGGAGGGGTGGCTGGGGGGGTTGTTGGATCGAGGGTGGCAGGGGGGCGGGGATGGTGGGTTTGGATGGAGGGGAGCAGGTGGGAGCTGGCTGGGGAGCCGTGGCTGGGGGGAGGGGGTGATCGAACCCCCTTGGGCAGTGGCCCCGATGCCCACAGAGGCTAAACCTGGAACTAGGCATTGCGGGGGGCTCCCGTGTGTGTCCCCCCCCCACCCCTGGGTGATTCTGCCGTGTCTCTGCTCTGGTTTCTCCCGCTAATCCTGCTGCTGCAGGGGGCTGTTTGCCAGGAGCTGCCGTGCAGCCTGGATTTGCGTATCTAGGGCAGCGCTGCCTGTCGTGCTGCAGTGACGCTTCTGGGTCGCCAACATAGACATGATCCAAATGATGCACAGCCTGGCTTGGCTTCCCTCTGTCAGAGAAAGGGGAGCCCCTCCCTGCCCTATAGGGAGGTCTGGGCCCCAGGGGGAATGGCCTTGGGCCATGCCCTCCCAGCCCCTGCTGCAGCCTCAGTTTCCCCACCAGGAGATGGGGCTGGGAGGCCGAGCTCGCTGAGATCTGCAGCGCTGTGAGGCTTCTGGGGCTGGGGGCTGTTAGTAGAGTGTCTGCTGCCCCTCTCCTCACCACGGCACCTTTGCTCTCTCTTCTCCAAGGCTCCCTGGGACCCGCCGGCCAAGGCTGCTGGGGTTAAAGCTCAGGGCTGGACAATGAACCCGTCCAAACATGACTGGTCAATTGACCAGTCCAGTATTGGTCAAATAATGTGAAAAATGGTGAAATATGGAAAAGTTCTAAGAACAGAGCAGTGACAAAGGGTTTCTGGTCTCCACTGGCTCAGCCTTAGGGCTTGTCTGCATGTGAAATGCTCCAGCCGCACAGCTGAGCCGCTGCAGCGCAGACGCTACCTCCACCGAGGGGAGGGGTCTCCCATGGCGCAGGGAATCCACCGCCCCGGGAGGCCGTAGCTAGGTCGACGGAGGAATTCTCCCAGCGACCTGGCGCTGTCTGCACCGGGGTTAGGTCACTTAACGACGCTGCTCAGGGGTGTGGGGTTTTCACACCCGGCGCCACGGAGCTGGGTCGATGGAATTTTCTGGTGTAGAGCAACCCCTAGATACTTTCGCCTTCAACAAAACCCAAGTTACTTAACTGAGTTATTTTAACTCAGAAAAACGCGAAACGCAATGAACTGAAGATCTAAAGCCAGAACTGATCCTTGGTGGCCCTGCATTGCCTTTCCGCGCTAGCTGAGCTTAGCCTTGAAATGTGAGTGTCAATAGCCAATGTCACTCCCGACTGAACTATTACAAAAGAAAAATGAATTAACCAGAAACAAACCAAACACATAACGACTATCAAAGCCAAATCGTCGTGCACGTGTGCTAGGCAAGCAGCTGCCGGGCAGCTCTTTGCACTGCTCAATGGCTGTGCAAAGTGGGCAGCTTCTCCCTTTGTGTTGGGGAGCAGGGTTAATGACTGGGACTCCCTGCCGTATGCTTGGCCAGTCACTGTAAGCTGTCAGTCTGCGGGGCAGGCATGGTCATAGTTTGAGTTCTCTTTTGGGGGGTGCACATGTCAGGGGCGAGTTCCACGCCTGTCCGAGGCTTGCAGTTTGGGGGGGCAATCCCCCCAACTACGCCCATGGGGGCAGGGACCATATCTTTTAACTTGCTTTGTAAACCCCCCTGGGGGGAGGGCCTGATCCACAGACAAAGATGAACATTCCCACCTGCAGTGTTTTTCCAGGAAGGCCCAGGCAATGCAGCTGCTCAGCTTGCAGTGAGTGGGCTCCCCCTTCTCCCAACAGGCGGCGGGAGCTGGGAGCCGGGTGAGTGCTCAGGACACTGAAGTGGGCTAGCTAGGGATGGCACTGGGATGCAAGCCGAGAGGAAGGGCACTGCTGCAGCAGGGCATTCTTACTGGAGTACTTTATGATATTTGACCATGGTGATAACAGGCGGTCAGTTGACGTTACTTGACTGGTCAGGTGACTGACTCGCCAAGCCAATTACAGCTGGTTGCGCTGGACTGTCCCTGCTGCTTTCTGGGGGGCGACCCTAGGGCTGGAGGTCGGAGCACCTGCCCCAGTAACGCTTGGTACCTTGCAGGTTTGGCGAGGCTGTCAATGGGAACCTGGTGGTTGGCACCCTCGCCTGGCCGTCTCCATGGGTGATTGTCATTGGATCCTTCTTCTCCACGTGTGGGGCAGGTCTGCAGAGCCTCACAGGAGCCCCCCGCCTCCTCCAGGCCATCTCCCGGGACGGGATCGTCCCCTTCCTGAGGGTAAGTGACCTGCTGCAAGCGGCTAACGCTGGCTCTGTCCCACTCACTAAGGAGCCCGGGATAGGGGCTGGCACATGCCCTCCTCGCCTGGGGCTGACTTGCTGCAGGCTGCCAGCAGTGACCACCTCCACTGCCATGCCCATCGCCAGAGGGCATCCTGCCCTGTCGCCAGGTCTCTCCCCATGGCCCTGTGTCCTCCACGCAGAGGCTCCCTCTGCCTGGATGGAGACGGGGTGTCGGATGCCCAGGATCGGTGCTTCGGCCCCAGCCGTGGAACAGTCTCTAGGACAGGCCCCGTCAGTGCCAGGCCCCCCAGCCCCCCGGGGTCTCCCTCGTCCTGCCCCGGGCAGGCCGTGCAGCCTCCCCACCTCCTTAGACAGGACCTCCAGGCTCCTGCCCTCCTGCTTGGCGCCGTGAGCTCCGCTCAGCCAGTCCCACTGAGCCAGCCTCTGGCAGAGATTCGTGCGCCCTGCCGGGGTGACCGCACCTCGCCCCGCCTTTCAGTGACACTCACACCGTGCTGGCACAACAGGCGGGTTTGTTCGTCCCCTGGACAAGGCACAGGGAGGCCGTAGGGTGGCCCAGAGAGAGGGAGGCTGAAGCACAGACTGTTCTGGTGAGCCCCAAGCCCAGGCACGCTGCAGAGACCTCCGTGCTCAGGCTCTGGGTCTCCGTCGGAGCTGCTGGGTCACTTCCCAGGTGAGAGCCCCGACTCCTTCCGGCAGCCGACGCTGAGCCCCTCCTCGCTTCATCCCTGTCCCGTGTTCTCGAGCTGGGGTCTGCCCAACTTCCCTGCTGAGAGGTGGGGACCCGTCTCCCTCTGGGCCGAGGGCCACTGTGAGCCCCCCCCCGGCCCCGGTGCTGCTGAGAGGTGGGAACCTGTCTCCCTCTGGGCCGAGGGCCCTAGGTGGCCATGTCCTGGTGATTGGGTTTGCCATTCTCCATTAATATGGGATCAGCCTCATCCAGTCCTTTTTAATGACTCATTCAAGCTCAGACAGCTAGAAATCATTCATACCTATGTCTCTTAGCCTGCCCTGAGAGCAACAGTCCTTCCCCCACCCCGGTAACAACACAGGGGAAACTGAGGCACACACAGGGTTCATAAAAATATGACAGAAAATTCCCACTTTGTCGTACTGGGGCCTTGTCGGAAGCTTGGGAGTGGAAACATAGCTGCACAGGGAACCGGCAGGTTCTTGGCTCCCGCAGGAGCAAAGTCACCTTCACCTTGTCTGAATCCCTCTTGAGGGGCTGAGCTCAGATGTGCCTCCGCCGGCGTGGGCTGGGTCTCTGCAGGGCGTCTGGGCTGCTGACACGGTTTGTGACAAAGGAAGTGCTGCTCCGAGGCCGGATCCCTGAGCGAGCCCCCGGCTGGCTGAGCCCCCAGCTGGCTCTCTGGCGATCCAGTGTGCCCAGCCGAGCAGCAGCCAGCATGGTCTGGCAGCGTCTGCGCAGCACATCTGTGTCCCAGCTTGCACCGTGGCCCATTTGCACGAGACTTTAGTGCAGCAGGCCCGGTCCTGTGTGCGAGAGCTGCCTGGCAGCTGGGGATTGGGCCCACTTGCAGGGCAGCTCCTGCCTCCCAGCTGCTGTGACCTGAGTGAGCTTGGAGGTCTGTCCGGGGACGCGGTGCTGGGATTCGGCCCTGGCTTGGATCTTGCTGGAACTGGCTTTGACGTAACAGCCTGGGAGGGAGATCGGTGATGGGGCCAGGGACGGCTTTATGACCTGCGGGGCCCGACTGGAATAGTTGGTGGCGGGGGGTCCGCTCCGGGTTTTCCGCAGCACTGAAGGACGCCCCGCTGCCGAAATGCCGCCGAAGACCCCCGAAGCGGGGCCCCCTTAGGCGCGGGCGCGGGGCCCGATTCCAGGGAATCGGGTGAATTGGGTTAAAGCCAGCCCTGGATGGGGCAACCCACCCCTGCTCACAGAGATACCAGCTCCCCATCCACACGGCATGGCCGCTCCCGCACTGGGCTGGTGTGGGAGCCTCTGCCCATTGGCACCTGACGTTTCCCTGGCCAGGCAGAACCAGAGCTACTGATCTCTGCGGCTGAGGAGACAGAGCCTGGCTCCCGCTTTGCTCCCTGTGCCTGCTCCTGGCCCGGGCCCTGGCAGCTGCCCGGGGTATGGCCGGGAGTCCTGGGGCGGGAGGCCCGGCAGGTTGGGAGCCGCAGAGCTCTGGCAGCTTGGAGAGGCAGGAGAGGAGTGTGCTGGGGAAGGTCAGCCTGTGCCCAGCGCGCTGTCGTTGTGCTGGTTAATATTTCATCTGCTCGCTGAAGATGTGTTCCCAGAACCTCATCTCTCCAAATCCAAACCGACAGCTCCCCCCAGGGAAGAACAGGCTAATTTTAAACTCGCTCCCTCGCCCTGCCAGCCATATTCTGAGCATTCGCTTGAGGAACCCAGCCTCTCCTGCTAATGCAAGCAGACGTGTCCTCTAGCTCCCTGCTCACACGGCTCTGCCTCCCCGGGACCCCTCCTCTCAGACACAGCCCCCACTGCGGGACAGCGTGGGGCTGCACGGGGGATGTCCAGGGGGGCAGGGACAACCTGGTGCCTCCTTGGGGGGCCTTGCTCCTGTGGCTGGACAGGGAACTGCCCTGGGAGCGTCCCAGCCGTTTCCAGTGTGCTGGGTGGAGCCGTCTGCGCTCAGGTCCCTTCCACCCCTGCGCCCCGTTAACAGGGCACCAGCTTCCCTGGGGAGCGGAGAGCAGCATTGGCCATATGGCCTGGTCTGTCCCCAGCAGGAGCCCAGCAGTGCTGCCAGTCGACGGGCATCAGAACCGTGTGGTGCTGGGAAGTGTGTGGTGCCAGCCCCCGTCGCCCCATGGCACCCCAACCCCCAGGCTCTGCCCCATCTCCCCATGGCACCCCGACCCCCAGGCTCTGCCCCATGGCACCCTGACCCCCGGCTCTGCCCCACCTCCCCATGGCACCCCGACCCCCACCCTCTGCCTCATCCCCCATTGCCCCATGGCACCCTGAGCCCCAGGCTCAGGCTCAGCCTCAGCCCCTGTCGCCCCATAGTACCTCGACCCCCGGCTCTGCCTCAGCCCCCATCCTCCCCATGGCACCTCAACCCCCAGGTGCTGCCTGAGCCGCACAGCCAGTGGTGTAGCTAGGAGTGGAAATGGAGTGGAAATGTCGGGGGGGCCCTATGTATGGGGGATGGGCAGTGACCAAAGCGCTGCCCCATGCTCTGTTCAGTACGATCGAGTGTTCGAATGCAGGGGGCAGGGCGGGAAGCAGAGAAGGGCTCTGAGTGCCGGGGTGGTCAGTGGAGGGGGCGAGCCCCCAGCCCCCCAGGCAGGCACAGGTTAAGCTGGGGCAGTGTGTGGGGGGGATGGGTGGCACCTGCACCGGGCCTGGCTGTTGCCAGAGTTGCCCAGGGCCGGGAGAAGTTTGCATGGCTGGGCCAACCAGGCTGTGCCATCCCCTGCGGGCTGTGGCCTCCCAGAGGCGGGCCCAGAGCCTCCTGCTTTCAGCCTGGAGGGCCTGCTCCACAGCCATAGGTCAGGCCTTGCCATGGCTACACCCACAAGACACCTGCATAGCTACTGCCCCAGGTCCCCACACGCAGCCAAGGCACCCACCGACCACTGGGCCCCCCAGTCCATGCCCTGTCTCCATCTCCGTCTCCTCTCGTGGCCCCTCGCTCGTCTGTCAGCTCCCACCCGTGCCAGTGCGTGCGGGCTCCTCGGCAGGGGCTCTGCCTCGCTCTATACTTGTCAGGCCCTGGCGCCCAGAGAGAGCCACGTCCCCGTGAACACGTGCGTCCTGCAGGGGTGGGCCTGTGCCAGCCCCCGCGTCTCGTGCCCGTCCCCGGAGCTGAGTGCGGCGTCCCTGCGGCAGCCCCGGGGCTGACTGCCCGGTGCCCAGGTGGGGCAGCCTGGCCCTGCCCCGGGGTAGCTGGGGCATTCTGTCTCCTTGGCTGTGGGGCAGACGCCACCAGCAGGGGCCCCTCTGTGCCAGCTGCTAGGGGTGCCTGCCCCATGCCAGGGCCTCCCGGTGGGCGTTAGATGGGAAATGGGCCAGGTCATCCCCTCCCCTCCCAGGCACCCTAACGCTCGTCTCTTTCGCTCTCCACCCAGGTCTTCGGCCACGGCAAAGCCAACGGGGAGCCCACCTGGGCGCTGCTCCTCACTGCCTGCATCTGCGAGATCGGGATCCTCATCGCCTCCCTGGACGAGGTCGCCCCCATCCTCTCCATGTAGGCAGCGCGCTCTGGCTGCGCCCCCCCCCCCCCCCCGAGACTGGGCCAGCCAGGACCCCCCCCCCCACTCAGGGTGTGGCCCCCTGTCCTGCGGCCGGTGCCGTCGGGATTAGCCGTGTGATGCCTGTGCCTGCATGGCACTGCCTGGGCTTGCCCAGGCCCTGGCTGAAGGAGCGCTGCGCCTGGGGGTGCCAGGGAGATGTGCCCGCTCCGGCACTGGCGAGAGCGCCCCTCGCTGGCAGGAGAGGACAGTCCCACGTGGGATGCGGCCCCTGTCTCTTGGCCACCATTCTGCCAGCTGCTGTTTCCTCCAGAGAGCCTGGCAGCAGCTGGGATCCCCGAGGGCCCCCTGGGACAGCCAGTGCGCGGGCATGGTACCTCCCCGCACCCATCCCTGGGGTTCCCGGGTCCAGGCTGCCACTGGCTCTGGGGTGAAAGGCTCAGGCCCCTGTGCAGGTCGGAGTGGCCAGGGCGGGTGCTGAGCGCTCTCGTGTCCCGCAGGCCCCATCGGAGGGGGGTTTGTGCAGCAGGGGCCGTGTCCCCGGCGCTTTCCCCACGCTCCTGTTCTCTGTTTCTCGCCTGCAGGTTTTTCCTGATGTGCTACATGTTTGTCAACTTGGCGTGCGCGGTGCAGACGCTGCTGAGGACACCCAACTGGCGGCCCCGGTTCCGATATTACCACTGGTGGGTGCTGGCCTGCAGGAGGATCCTGTCCCGGGGCCCTGCCCTTCCTGACAGGCGCTGCCGCCGCCCAGGGATGGGCCCTGCTGCTTCATGCAGGGGAGCGGGAGCATGAGTTCAGGATGCTGCTCGCACTGGGCAATGTGGAACAGGCCTGGCCCACTCGGAGCCTCAGTTTCCCCATGTGTGCAGTGGGGAGGTTGGTTCCCAGGGGCTGGATCACCTGAACAGTAGGGAAGGGCAGGCGGCTCCTGCCCCCCTGGGTCCTGCACTGATGGAGGCCGGAGGAGCAATGCTAGCTGAGGCCGGTCTCACCTGGGCCGGCTCTGGCTGCTCTGGGGCCTGGCTTGGGCAGGGCTAGCAGGACCTGCGCTTTGCCCAGGCAGCCAGACTCCCAGCCGGAGCAGCGTCCCTTCCCCTAAGGTCCCTCCTGGCAGGCCGGGGCTGGCGTCGGGGGCTGCCAGGGCCATGGAGTCCCTCAGAGGCAGGTTGGGGAGGTGCCGGGGCAGGGCTCTGCGTTCTGGAAGGCTGGTGTCGTGGGGCTGGGCTGAGAGGTCCCTTCGCTCCCCAGGACACTCTCCTTCTTGGGCATGAGCCTCTGCCTGGCCCTGATGTTCATCTGCTCCTGGTACTACGCTCTCGTGGCCATGCTAATCGCCGGCCTCATCTACAAGTACATCGAATACAGGGGGTGAGTGCGGCACCCCGGACTCGGGGCATGCGGGGCGGGGGAGCTGCTCCTGGGCTCAGGCATCCACTACGACAGGGCTGAACGGAGCCCGCGGCAGGGCAGGGCAGGGCAGGAGTTCCCCAGAGCCCTGCCGGCAGCGTGGTCAACCCAGCGCCCGCTAAGCTCCGTCGTGCTGGGAAACAGCAGGTGCCTGGGCTGGAAAAGAGCCAAGCCCTGGGAGCCCTGAGCCCTGGTTGCTAGTCCCAGCTCTGCTACCGGGCGCTCAGGGAGGTCCCCAGACCCCTCCCCATAGGCCCACGGCAGGAGCTCTGACGCTGGCCCCAAGTGAAGTGGGAGATGGGGCGCAGCAGGGCAGGGCTTTGCCCAGCTCACAAGCCGCCACAGGCTCTGTCAGGCTGTTGGATTGTCCGAGCTTCAGTCAATCAGCAGCCACCCAGCTCCCAGCGGGTCCCCCCTCCTAGGGAGCAGGCCTGAGCACCCCCCCTGCTCTCTGCCTTTCCTGGTGCCCCTCTGGCTCCCCCCTCTAAGCCCAGCTGCCTTGGAGAGAGCTGGTGGCACCCTGGGACAGGAAACGAGCGCTCTAGTGCTTAGGGCCTTCCAGTGGCCCTTCGCAGCCTGCCCCAGGACCCCCCAGCTGCCCTCAGAGGGGAGCTGGCCCCCAGAGCGTGGGCTGGCCTCCACTCCTGCCCGGCGCTGAGTGCCCCTGTCCCTCCCCTGGCAGAGCGGAGAAGGAGTGGGGCGATGGCATCCGAGGGCTGTCGCTCAGCGCGGCACGCTACGCTTTGCTTCGGCTGGAGGAGGGACCCCCGCACACCAAGAACTGGAGGTGAGTGCGGGGCGGCCGAGGGACTGGAGCTGCCTCTAGCCAGTAACGGGGCGAAGAGCAGGGAGTGGGCGGTGGGCAGGACGGGCACTTAGGAAGCTCCAGAGGAGAGCCCTGCCCAGGAGCTCACATCCTGGGGCCTGGGCGGGGTCGGTGCGGCTTGGGACTGGCGGGGGGAGGGGGAGGGGTGCATGGGGCAGAGGGTTTGAGCTCCGGGGTGCAGATGGATGGGGGCGCCCTGCCCCTAGGGGCCGTAAGGTTTGTGTGACCGGGGCGCATGGCAGGCACTGGATGGAGGCTCATTGATCCCCTGGGGCAGGTGTGGTACAGGGTGTGGGGGCTGAGCGTGGCCAGTGTTTAACCCCAGGGTGTTCCCTTCCCAGGCCTCAGCTGCTGGTTCTGGTCCGAGTGGATCAGGAGCAGAACGTGGTGCACCCGCAGCTCCTGTCTCTCACCTCACAGCTCAAGGCCGGCAAGGGGCTGACGATCGTGGGCTCTGTGCTGGAAGGGACCTTCCTGGATAATCACCTGCAGGCCCAGCGGGCGGAGGAGGTGAGGGCAGCACCAGCAGTAAGACCCCCGCTGTGATGGGTTGGGTCACAGAAACCCCCTTGGGAGCTGCCACCTGATGTGCAAACCTACTCCTGCCCCTGCTTTCCTGCCCTGGCAGCTTGGGACTTCAGTGCCCTGCCTGGCTGTGCCAGACTCGCTAGCCTGCTGCAAACCCAGATCCAGGTCTGAACCACGTCCCCTAACAGCTGTAGGCTTGACTGAAAGCAGCTCACAGAAGTGTTCTTGTCTTTAACACTCAGATGCCCAACTCCCAATGGGGTCCAAACCCAAATAAATCCGTTTTACTCTGTATAAAGCTTATGCAGGGTAAACTCATAAATTGTTCGCCCTCTATAACACTGATAGAGAGATATGCACAGCTGTTTGCCCACCCAGGTATTAATACATGCTCTGGGTTAATTAATAAGTAAAAAGTGATTTTATTAAATACAGAAAGTAGGATTTAAGTGGTTCCAAGTAGTAACAGACAGAACAAAGTAAGTCACCAAGCAAAATAAAATAAAATGCGCAAATCTATGTCTAATCAAACTGAATACAGATAATCTCACTCTCAGAGATGCTTCAGTAAGTTTTTTCCTCAGACTGGACCAGGAGCGCCGCCAGCTTTTCTGCTGCCCTAGGTGGCGGAAGGTCCCGCCCCGAAATGCCACCCCCCACAGAGGCGGCGGAAGGTCCCGCTGCCGAAATACCGCCGCGGTCGCCGCCTAGGTCACCTAATGGGTTGCACCGGCCCTGGACTGGACACCTTCCAGGCCTGGGCACAATTCTTTCCCCTCGTACAGCTCTTGTTCCAGCTCAGGTGGTAGCTAGGGAATTCTTCATGATGGCCCCTCCTCTTTGTTCTGTTCCACCCCTTTATAGATCTTTTGCATAAGGCAGGAATCCTTTGTCCCTCTCTGGGTTCCCACCCCTCCTTCTCAATGGAAAGACACCAGGTTAAAGATGGATTCCAGTTCAGGTGACATGATCGCATGTCACTGTAAGACCCCAAGCCTTCATTCCTCCAGCCTGACTCACAGGAAGGCCGGCCTGCAAACAGAGCATCCAGTCAATTGTCCTGGTTAATGGGAGTCATCAAGATTCCAAACCACCATTAATGGCCTACACTTTGCATAATTACAATAGAACCTCAGAGTTATACTTCATATTTCTAGCTTCAGATTCAAGAATGATACATTCATACAAATAGGATGATCACACTTTGTAATGATACCTTACAAGAGACCTTTTGCATGAAGCATATTCCAGTTACATTATATTCACTCGTTAGCATATTTATATAAAATCATATAGACTGCACAACGTCACACCCGCCCCCGGTGCCGCTTCCCTTCCTCAGTCACTGGCGCCCCTGTCTCCGGGCTACTCCCGCCCACGGGCCTGCAGCCCACACAGGAGCTCCGTGCCATGGTGCGCTGGCCTGGGAGCAGAGCCTCCTCTTGGGACACTTCCTGGCTGCACATTCCCTCCCAGGGCCTCGCAAAGCCCCCAGATCCCCCTCTCCACACCCGCAGCAGCCTGGCCTGCCCCCTCCCCACGCTTGGCACTACTGTCAGGTTTGCCGGCTGCCATGGGTTGCAGCTGGCTCACAGCAGCTGGCACCGGACGGCCCCAGCGGAGCACAGCCCTGGGACTCCGGCGTCTGCACTGAGCCAGGTCTCACTGACCCCAGCCTGCGTGTAATCAAACAATTTCTCCTCTTGGTGACATGTTATAATTTTTGTGAGTAAATAATTCTAAGTGCTGTGCTCCCTGCCCGTCGGGCCTGCAGCAGGGACGCCCCTCAGCACTGCACAGAAAGTGAGGGTGGCACGCGCTAACTCAGCATGCTGCCTGGCAGTGCCAAGGCTGCGCCCCCATGCTCCTGGCTGACGGGGAATTTGTGAACTTCTGGCATGTGCCCGCTACCCAGCACACTGCCCTCCCTCAATTAGTCCAGGAGGCTGTGGGGAGGGAGGGATGGGGGGCAGCGGCAGGGCTGTGGGTCGGGACGGAAGGGCAGCGGCAGGGCTGTGGGTCGGAAGGGGCGGGCAGGACTGGCATAGCAGGGCTGTGGGTTGTGGGGGGCAGCGGCGGGGCTGTGGGTCAGGATGGTGGGGAAGGGCTGGCGTAGCAGGGCTGTGGGTCGGGGGGGGACAGCGGACATGTGCATCACCAGAATGCCGGGGATGTGCACGGGGGGAGCTGGGGCGTAGAGTGGGGGGAGGGGATGTGCATGGGGGGGAGAGCCGGGGCATAGAGATGGGGGGGATGTGAACTGGGGGGGGAGCCGGGGCGTAGAGTGGGGGGCGGGGCAAGCCGTGGGGCTCAGCAAAGGGGGAGGGGATGTGTCCAATGGCAGCATGAAATGGCTGCGCCGTGCCCTGCTCACTGGGTTGCCGGGGGAGTGCACGGCTGGGCTTCCCCCTAATAAGATTAGGAGCTTGTAATCAAACAATTTCTCCTCTTGGTGACATGTTATAATTTTTGTGAGTAAATAATTCTAAGTGCTGCGCTCCCTGCCCGTCGGGCGTGCAGCAGGGACGCCCCTCAGCGCTGCACAGAAAGTGAAGGTGGCACGCGCTAACTCAGCATGCTGCCTGGCAGTGCCAAGGCTGCGCCCCCATGCTCCTGGCTGACGGGGGATTTGTGAACTTCTGGCATGTGCCCTCTACCCAGCACGCTGCCCTCCCTCTGCCCACACCTCTGCCTGCCTCGCCTGCTGCCCAGGCCCATGGCTCCAGGGCACCCGGGGAGGGGACCCTGCTCATGGAGGGTTCTGGGTGCAGCTGGCATCTGCGGTGTCCCCGCTGCTCCTGGGACGGCCCCGGGACGCTGTGCTGTTCTGCTGTCGCTAATTCCCCTCCCTGTCTCTCCCCGGGGCAGTCCCTGCGCCGCCTGATGGAAGCGGAGAAGGTGAAAGGCTTTTGCCAGGTCGTGATCTCGTCCAACCTGCGGGATGGCGTGTCCCACCTCATCCAGTCCAGTGGGCTCGGTGGCCTGCAACACAACACGGTGCTGGTGGGGTGGCCACGCAACTGGCGGCAGAAGGAAGATCACCAGACCTGGAGGAACTTCATTGGTATGAGCCAGCCTGGGGGCCCGTGACTCTGAGCAGGGTTCACGGCCACCGCCCGGTCCGGCACGTGTGGATCTGGAGTTTGGGGGAGCAGGAGGGGAGGGGACAAACCAGCAGTGTCTGGTGCTGTATAAACCCTCAATTAGCCCAGGAGGCTGTGGGGAGGGAGGGAGGGAGGGGGGGCAGCGGCAGGGCTGTGGGTTGGGATGGGGGCAGGGCTGGCGTAGCAGGGCTGTGGGTCGGGGGGGCAGCAGCAGGGCTGTGGGCCGGGAGGGCGAGGTTCTGGTTCTGGTGCGGCTGCGTGGGCCAAAGCAGGAAGTGGGACACTGTTGAGAGCCAGCCCAGTCCTTGCTGCAGCTGCAGAGGGTTACTATGGGGCCCCTCTTCATTTCACGCTAATAGCAGAGGGGTCAGTCTCGTTCCTGGGATCACTCCCGTGGCCGCCAGCTGTGCTCCTGTGCGAACGCACTGGCTCGTTCCTCTCCTTGGGGACCCCGAGCCGCTCAGCCATCTAGGCCCTGCTTCGCACTGGGCCACTGCCATGCTGGGCTCCGCCCCGGCTCCCTCGACATCCCATGACAGCCACATCCCACTGGGACCAGGAAGCTATTGACTAAGAGGGGAGTGCGGGAGGCAGAACCTTCATGGGGGTCATACCTGGCCTGTGGAACTCACTGCCACAGGAGAGAAGAGACTCCAGCCCTACCGCATCCAGCGCTCAATGCAGAGCTCCACTCTGAGACACCGCTCCCCTCAGTAAGGTCTGTGTGCACACACAGCCGCACACACCTGCGCACACCCACAGACCCCCAAATGAGCAAAAGCAAAGCTCCCCCCGTTGTGTTGCCTGCAGGCTGGGAGGAAGCGGTGGATTGTGCATGCGTGTGCATGCCAGGCATGATCACCCCGCCATGGCTCCACATGCTCCTTGTACCGGGTGCGTGGGGGCAAGGCAGCAGCTGGATGCATGCATGTGCATGCCAGGCGTGCTCACCCCGCCATGGCTCCACCTGCTCCTCGTACTGGGCGCGTGGGGGCAAGGCAGCAGCTGGATGCAGCCCCCAGCTGGCGCTGAGCTGCCCCAGCCTGGCCCAGGGCACTGGCGGCCTCTCCCCGTTGGCAGCAGGCCCCCCAGGGAAATGCTGGGCACTGTGCAGAGGGACGGCGGATGAAGCCCAGAAGCCCCTGCCGTGCTCCCTGGGGATGCAGTGCTCTGGGATGCGCGTGGCGCTCCTGGTGGGGGCCGGGAGGACGTCGCACTGGTGGGTCAGCAGCCCCTCACGCTGCTGGGAGGGGGCTGGTCTCTGCACTGCCACTGCCCTGACCCACAGCCCTTCCCCACAGAGCTGGTGCGGGAGACCACAGCCGGCCACCTGGCCCTGCTGGTCACCAAGAATGTCGCCATGTTCCCGGGCAACCAAGAGCGGTTCTCCGAGGGCCACATTGACGTCTGGTGGATCGTCCACGACGGGGGCATGCTGATGCTGCTGCCCTTCCTGCTGCGGCACCATAAGGTACTGTGGAAGGGGGGGTTGGGCTGGGACCGGAGGGGGGAGGAGGGCTGGGATCGGGGGAGTGTCCCCCTTTTTACATGCCAGCCGGGCTGGGGTCAGGGGGAGGATTTTCCCTCCTTTGACATGACAGCCAGGCTTTGATTGTGGGGGCTGAGATCAGGGTGGGGAGCCGGGCTGGGATCGGGGGGGGGTTTCCCCTTTGGCATGTCAGCCAGGCTGGGATTGGGTGAGCCGGGCTGGGATCGGGGGGGTGTTCCCCCCTTTGGCATGTCAGCCAGGCTGGGATTGGGCGGGCTGGGCTGGGATTGGGGGGCTGGGTGCCCCATCATGATTCACAGGATCTGTGCTACTCTGCGGCCTGTCGACCGTCTCCTGGCAGCACCCAACGGGGTCACACTGTTCCACAAGGGTCGGCCATGTGGCTTCAACGCCTCTGGCTCCAGCCCTCCGGTTTGACGCCATGAGCTCTGCCAGGGAGCCCCATGGTGCAGAGCCCTGGTCAGAGACTTTCACCCCCTCGGGGATCCAGGACTCAGCCCGAGGCAACTGGGTTATTATCCCTGGCCACGGTGCTGGGAAGTCCCGTGTGCGGCACAGAGAAGCAAAGGGCCAATGAAAGCTGTGACCTCCCCGGCCCGGTCTCTGTCAGGCCCAGGTGGGAGCTGCGGGGTCTTTGCGAGCCCAGTTCCAGCACAGCCTCCAGTGTCCTGCTACAGCCCATGCTGAGCGCTGCCTCTGACCCTCGGGTGCTCAGTCCTTGGCGGTGCCCGTGTCTTTCTGCTTCCCCCGGCCTGGCACAGTGCGGATGCTGCTTTGGTGGCACAGGATCAGCGAGAACATTTGCAGTCCCATTAACAGAACCCTGGCAGGGCAGACGTAGCCCTTTCCAGCAGCTACAGCCACGCCAGAGGCGAGGGCTCAGGTAAAGCCCCGTCCCCATAGACACAGCTGGAGCTAGGAGCCCACCCAGTGGCCAGGCCTGCTCTCAATTGTGGCCCGTTCCGGTCCCTGGGGAGGGGTGTCTTGGTCAGGTATCAGTCGGGTGTGTCTCCCCCTTGGCATTGGCTTGCAGCAGCACCGGGCGCAGCCCTGTGTCACCGGACCCCAGGAAGGGTTTGTCTGGTACCGAGTTCACACAAACTGGGTCCTGGCTTAGGGCCCCTTCCCGTGCAGAGAGCCCATGCTGTCCGGCTGACCCTTTCTGGATGCTGCGGCGCTGGGAGCGGTGAGCAGCTGGGGGTATAACTTTCCGGTAGTACCACTTGGCCAGTTCTGGCCATATACAGCCGCTCCCCACCCTGTGACCCAGGTACAACACCTTGGCCACCCCCTCTTTACATTCTCCGACCTTTATAGTTGTCACGGACTCACAGACCGTGCCCACTCGTGGCCCCGTGCGGTCTGTGGGGGGGTGCCCCTTTCAGTGCGACAGCCCTTCTCGGGGGTCCACTCTCTCTCGGGGTCAGGCCCCTCCACCTCCTGGAGCCACACCTCTCTGAGCCTTAGCACATCTGTCTCTGGTGTGGGCCCCCTCAGGAAGTCCCCTCGCTCTGGACCTCCGGGGCCCCCACCCCCCAAAGGGGTTGATGCAACCCTGTTCTCTAGCCTGGCGCGACTCTCAGCCAGCGTAACACAGGAGGGTTTATTGAGCGTCTGAACCCAGCACAGGAAACTGTGAATGGGCTGCCCCAGCACAAGAGGGTTGAGAGCAGACGCTGCCCATCGCACCCGCACAGAGACACAGGCATTCCCCTGGGCTGGGCCATCACCAAGGTAACTCTTTGGTGGTCCCATTTAAAGTCCATGCATCTGAAGAAGTGAGGTTTTTTACCCACGAAAGCTTATGCCCAAATAAATGTGGTAGTCTCTAAGGTGCCCCAAGGACTCCTCGTTGTTTTTGCTGATCCAGACTAACACAGCGACCCCTCTGTAGTGACGTCTGCACCATCACGGAGAGAGTCTCCCAGCACTGCGGTAACTTCCACATTCCCCCCCGGGCCTGGTGCACACCCCAAAATCTTTTCCGAGAAGCCGCCGGCATCAGGCTGAACTTGTGCAGTGGAGTCTCTTTGACCTGTTCTTAGTGCCCGGGGTCATGTCTGTGTGGCTCTATCGCTTGGGAGGCAGTGCCGGGGTGAGAGTAGCGCTGGGCCGCCCAGCCTGATGCAAACAGCAAGCCTTGTGCCAGGCCCTGCGGTAGGGATCAACGTCTCCCCCCCCACATTGGTATCAAGGCTCCCTGCAGAACTGGCGTCCCCAATCCTGCTGGAAAGGCATAACGAGTGGGGTTCCGCAGGGGTCTGTTTTGGGACCGGCTCTGTTCAATATCTTCATTAACGACTTAGATATTGGCATAGAAAGTACGCTTATTAAGTTTGCGGATGATACCAAACTGGGAGGGATTGCAACTGCTTTGGAGGACAGGGTCATAATTCAAAATGATCTGGACAAATTGGAGAAATGGTCTGAGTTAAACAGGATGAAGTTTAACAAAGACAAATGCAAAGTGCTCCACTTAGGAAGAAAAAATCAGTTTCACACATACAGAATGGGAAGAGACTGTCTAGGAAGGAGTACGGCAGAAAGGGATCTAGGGGTTATAGTGGACCACAAGCTAAATATGAGTCAACAGTGTGATGCTGTTGCAAAAAAAGCAAACATGATTCTGGGATGTATTAACAGGTGTGTTGTGAGCAAGACACGAGAAGTCATTCTTCCGCTCTACTCTGCTCTGGTTAGGCCTCAGCTGGAGTATTGTGTCCAGTTCTGGGCACCGCATTTCAAGAAAGATGTGGAGAAATTGGAAAGGGTCCAGAGAAGAGCAACAAGAATGATTAAAGGTCTGGAGAACATGACCTATGAAGGAAGGCTGAAGGAATTGGGTTTGTTTAGTTTGGAAAAGAGAAGACTGAGAGGGGACATGATAGCAGTTTTCAGGTATCTAAAAGGGTGTCATAAGGAGGAGGGAGAAAACTTGTTCACCTTAGCCTCTGAGGATAGAACAAGAAGCAATGGGCTTAAACTGCAGCAAGGGAGGTCTAGGTTGGACATTAGGAAAAAGTTCCTAACTGTCAGGGTGGTTAAACACTGGAATAAATTGCCTAGGGAGGTTGTGGAATCTCCATCTCTGGAGATATTTAAGAGTAGGTTAGAGAAATGTCTATCAGGGATGGTCTAGACAGTATTTGGTCCTGCCATGCGGGCAGGGGACTGGACTCGATGACCTCTCGAGGTCCCTTCCAGTCCTAGAATCTATGAATCTATGGTCCCTCCCCATGTACTGCCGGTGGAGGACCTCACGCTCCGCCTCGGCTCCAGACCCAGGCCATGCTGTTGCTGCTGTTTTCCCTGCTCCCTCTTGTTTGCGCTGGTTCTCACCGTCGGCCAGTTTCTGTTGCGCCAGCTGAAGGACCTTCACGCTCAGTGCCAGAGCTGGGGAACTGGGCTGTGGGGATGCCCCCTGGCTGCTGCTACTGCCACTCTTGTCTTTGGCATCTCTCAGACCCCGGCCTGGGGTGGGCCCCAGTTCCTGGCCTGGTCAGCGTTCCCCAGCCCTGCAGTCACCTGTGCCTCCTTTAACACTCGCTCTCCCTGCTCTGCTCTGCTGGGTGTGTGTGTGGGGGGGGCTACACCATTGTCTGGCTAGTTCCTTTGGCTAATCTTTTTATTGCTGCAAGTCCTGGCTGGTGCTTTCAGTATCCCATTGTCTCTGCAGGGTTCCCATTGGGATGGGTGGGTTCCAGGCAGTCCTTAATGACCCATTCATACCTCCCCGCCCCCCACCCCCAGACAATTACAAGACCCTGTGCGGCCCCAGAAGCTGCACTGTAACCCTTCTGTACCCGCTGGGGAGCAGCGGCAAGGTGATCCGTACACGTGGCCCATCGACAGTTCATATCGATATTACAGACGATTCCCACATTTGTCACACACTCCCTTTGGTGGGCCGGCCAGGCTGGGATTGGGGGCCGGTTCCCCCCTTTGGTGGGAGTCACGGACTCACAGATCGTGCCCACTCCTGGCCCCGTGCGGTCCGTGGGGAGGGGGCCCTTTCAGTGAGACAGCCCTTCTCAGGGGTCCACTCTCTCTCGGGGTTAGGCCCCTCCACCTCTCTGAGCCTTAGCACGTCTATCTCTGCCGTGGGCCCCCTCAGGGAGTCCCCTCGCTCTGGACCCCGCGGGGTCTCCACCCCCCAAAGGGGACGATGCAACCCTGTTCTCTAGACTGGAGCGACTCTCAGCCAGTGTAACACAGGAGGGTTTATTGAGCGTCTGAACCCAGCACAGGAAACTCTCCTGGCCTCAGACCTGGCCTCCCTCAGCACAGCACTTCCCAGTCTCCCTGCATCCAGGTGGGCTCTGCCTGCTCCCCCTCTCCAGCCCAGAGCCCCCCTGCTTCCCAGCTGGGCATCTGAGATCCCCGGCCCCAGGCCCCACCTCTGTCCATTGTCTTCTCTCCAGGTAAACAGAGTCGTAAACCGGGTCGCCTGGGCCTCCTCTCTTCTCAGCCCTCCTCTGGCCCCCTCTGGCTGGAACTGGCTGGTCAGGTCACCGGGGTCCTCTCTTTACAGCCCTTTGTCCCCCCACTGGCCAGAACCGGCTGCGACTCCTGAGCTGGGCCTCCGGGTCACCAGGTCGCCAGTCACCCATTGCTGGGGTATCCATTCTCCCCACCAGTGGCTGGGGTCCCAAGTTCCCTTGCTGATCCTGTGTACCAACAAACTCCCTCTCCCATCACCTCGTTAAACCCGTAACACCCAGGGAAACTGAGTCCCACCCCCTCTGTGTGCCAACCATAGGAAAACCAAGTGAATCCCCCATAGGAAACAAGGAAAACAAGAAACTGCCCCATGTCGTGTCAGTGGGCCAGCCAGGCTTGGATTGGGGACCGGTTCCCCCCTGTGGTGAGCCGACCGGGCTGAGATCGGGGGCCGGTTCCCCCTGTTTGCTGGACCGGCCAGGCTGGAATTGGAAGGGTTCCATGCAGGGCAGGCTGCCAGCGCTCCGTCTCCCCTGGCAGGTTTGGCGTAAATGTAAGATGCGCATCTTCACGGTGGCGCAGATGGACGATAACAGCATCCAGATGAAGAAGGACCTGACGACATTCCTGTACCACCTGCGCATCACGGCCGAGGTGGAGGTGGTGGAGATGGTGAGAGCCCTTGCACGGCCCAGCCCCTCCCTAGCCCGGCTCCCTGGCCTTGTGGCTGGCCGCTGGCTTGGGCCTTGTGCGTAGTCACTGCCCTGAGAGGTGGGTGCAGAGCTGCCCAGGCCCAGCACTGGGGTCCCCAAGGGGCTGCAGGGGAAGGGCCAGCCAGGTGTTTCCTGGGTAACGGGGGGCACTTGCCCATGTGGGGCCCAGGGCTGCCGAGCTCCCTCCCTGGGTGATGGTGCGTCCTGTCCCTGCAGCATGAGAGCGACATCTCGGCCTACACCTACGAGAAGACCCTGGTGATGGAGCAGCGCTCGGAGATCCTCAAGCAGATGCACCTCACCAAGACCGAGCGGGAGCGAGAGGTAACTGGGCTCCCTGGGCGTTGCCTCTGCCCTGGGCTGGTTCCCCCCCAGAACGCTGGGGCCTGCGCCCCGGGGGCAGCAGCTTTGCTGAGCCAGCTGGGCCCTTTGAGCCATGGGGGGCTGCTAGTAACCGTGGTGCAGGCTCCGCAGCTGGGGCTGGGCCTGAGACCCCTGAGCAGTGACCCCCCCGGCCAGTCCTGAGCTCCCCAGCAGTGACACCCCCCCAGCCAGCCCTGAGCTCCCCC